TGGCTGTGGTTTCTTTCCCGTGAATGACTTCTTGTTCTGTGGTTGTTCTGATAATAGTGGATGTATGATGTGCCACTAGAGGGGCGTCCAGGATTATTTCAAATTTCCGCGGTTAGTTGCACTGAACTCGAGAGATGATCAGTTGTCAGATATAAGAGTTTATTCAGTTCAGTTCAGCAGTTCTACACATATGACGGACACTGGACAACACTAAACAATTAACAGCAGACAATCTACAAGTATAACAAAGCTAAGAAGTATAGTAAAGAACTAAAACCAGAAAACACATATCAGAGCTCTATGGTTAAGCCACAGAAGCACAGTACAATGGCTGTTCTCGGATGCACAATATAATGACCGCTCTCAGCCTTTCCTTGTCCTTATAGGCCACCCCTCCGGTATAGTTTTCCTCGAATTGTTCTCACCATGCTCGAGCTGCACCAAGACGATTCAGGTTCTCCCTGGCAGTTGGCGTCAGGGGCATCCCTGCTGATGGGTGAGTTGTCAGGTCCGCAGGCCAGCTGACGGTGAGTCCGAGTCCACACAGAGGTACGTTGGTTACTTTCTTTTATCCTTCCCAGGCTGAGTTCATTATTCAGTCAATCAATGCCAGACCATAGTTGGACAATGTAGCAGATGGCCTCAGTCATAACAGTTTGGATACCAACAGGATGGTCAACAGTGTACTCAGCAGTACAATCAACAGATAACAGTACGCACATTCAACAGCTGTCACTATGCGTATTCAACAGATAACAGTACGAAATTCCAAGGTACATAGATGCTTACAGAGTGAGTCTGCAGTGTCACTTCTCCTTTGCTAACTAGGTTTGCTCTACACTCATGGGGTCACTGGAGGGCTACAGCAACCCTGCAGTGTGGTGGCTCTGGCCGTGGTGCATCCGGGGGTTCCTAAACTCTTGGGGAGCACCCCAGAGCAAACCCCTCTTCTCTGGGCTGCACTCTCCTAGAGTCTCACGCTTGCCTGTGTGGCGCCTATCAGGATGTTACAGGGAATGCCCTTTCCAGCTTACAAGGTCCTTTTTCCTTCACTGAGAAGGATGGTTGCTGTAGTAGTAGGATAAATTAATCCAAGCTTAACTTAATGATGAAACATAAATCTTTCCAAAGTTTCTGCTTATTCCAACAATGTGAGGCCTTACCCTAACTTCACCTGGGACGTTCTTTCAGATTTCTTTGTATTCTTTTTCTCTGGTCTGTTTTGGTGGCGTTTCCAAATGGCTTGGCTCAGTTTTCTGTTCCTGGCTATTCTTCCAAATTTGGTGCGCTGTCATAAGCTTTCTTTTTCTTAAGGTCCCTTCAAACTACTACTAATTGCCATTACATTATTCACTTATTTGAGTCTGAAGGATATTCTTCTGTGTGCTTCATACGCTCCGAATGACCATCAAAGTAACACTTTCTAGGCTGGCTAGAGAAGCTCTACTGAATTTATTTTATGTGATTTCTGTTTATAGCAAATTTTGCCTTAATCACAGAATCACAGAATGGCTTAGGTTGGAAGGGACCTCTGGAGATCATCTAGTCCAACCTCCCTGCTCAAGCAGGGTCACCTAGAGCATATTGCCCAGGATCACATCCAGACGGGTTTTGAATATCTCCAGGGAAGGAGACTCCACTACCTCTCTGGGCAACCTGTCCCAGTGCTCTGTCACCCTCACAGTGAAGAAGTTTTTTCTCAGGTTCAGATGGAACTTCCTGTGGTTCAGTTTCTGCCCGTTGCCTCTTGTCCTGTTGCTGGGCACCACGGAGAAGAGGCTGGCCTCATCCTCTTGACACTC